ATGAAGCCCATACAAGGAGAGTTCATTACGAACTACAATAATAAAAGTACATGTACTTTTCGTTCTATGTTTTTGTATGTAACGTGCGCTGTATTTAATTTCGAGAAGTAATATGTTCACATACGCGTTTTTGTGACAGATGGTGATTTTTGCTTCAATGTGTGTTTTTACGTAATATACAAACATAGCATTTGAGATCTTCGGGCTAAGATAAGTACTCATTTACTTCTGCGGTTTTCTTGTCTAACAGTTTCCGGTTCCCATTAAAAATGACAAAGGGCCATGTACAAATACGAAAACAAGGGCCCAAAGAATCACGCAACAAATGACGACATTTATCAGGGTACAATTAATCTTTTCAAAAAATATTGCGCCTTTGACATTTTGAATAATGGATGCTCACTTTCCTATTGTTCAGTGCGCGTCTTTTTATTTTCTATTTACGACCGTTTTAACTTGTACTTTGACCGATATGTCTCGAGTAAAATGCTATGTTGCGGTTGTCTGTTAAAAATGCAGAAACTACCGGCATGTGGTATGTAAAGTACTTACAATAATTAATGCTAAAATTTACTCAGTTTGTAGATCCGACAAACATGTGGAGTATTCCTCGAATAAGCTTAAATTCATCTGCGTAAGCAAAGGGAATGGTACATTCCCGGACAGCAACACACAAAAAAGCAAATATAGCCAAAGGGAACAAAACCGGAGTGAAACAACAGTCAACAAATTGTTGAATAATTTAGCGGTTGGCGGTACGCACGTATTTCAAATTATGAGAAAGAAAAAACCCAAATAATGTGTAAGCGGACAAGATTTTTCAAGAACTTAGTCGTTCTTTTAACTTGTCCACCTTTTCTTGAACTCGATCGCGTGATTTACGAGAACGTTCGCAGTCCTACTTCATTAGCATTATTTAATCTGTTAAGGGTAGCCTTTTCATGGTTACCCCATTTCGTTAAACGCTGTAGGCCGATAGAGGATAATAGGGGTGACAAAAACAAAGGGGTTGATAAATAATTGTCTTGTTCACATTTTTCTCTTTTTTGACTTTTTTATTTTATTTGAGCAAATAAAGGGACGAAGGAACGTTTAAATTTTTAGTTATTCTGTGTGGGGTTTCTTGTTATTCGAGTTGCCCCACCTTCTGATTAGCATATTCAGCCACAGCACGAGGTACTGCGCACATAAGTATTAAGTTAATGCATTTAAATACAACAACTTTCCTGTCGAAAGTCGCAGCGAACATAACAAGATTCATAGCTACAAGCTTTTCTCATGTAGCATTTAATCAAAGGGCAAAGTTGTAAAGAGGAATCACAGAGTTTGTAGATTAAGTATCAGGAACGAAGGAACTTTACTTCGCACGCAACAACTCTGTCAATCTTACTTACGGTGAATTGTTAAGGTAATGGGCCAATTTGAAAGACTGAATACACTTTGGGAATTATGCAAATGTGTAGTTAAGACTTGTTACGATCCATTCTACTGCATGTAATTCTATATGAGTTTATGTACGTGTACGTGCCGCCTTATTACTCTTATTACAAACCGGTTGAAATTCTTAATATCAATCGTGTAATAGAAGATATAACGGACGCAACTGAAGCAAAAATACTGCGTGAATTTCATCGTTATGTTCATGCTTTGAGCATTCTCACTTGACTCGTTTATTAGCATTAAACAAAACAATAATTACCTAATGACACAATTTTCTGATCTCAAATTAAACTTGTTCATATCATGTTATTAGATAGTTTTTTAATTCATTAAAATAATGTCTTCATGCGGTTTTTTTTATTGTGGACCAGTTTACTGCGGTTTATTTTTATGGTTTACGTTCTACTGTTACAAACATGTACTGTATTGCTTTTTTCATTCCCATTGTTTCAACATGTTTACAGTTGGTCGTTTTCCTCCATAACCAGTGCTTTCGTTTATTGAACTTTTTTACTTTTTTTTTACAGTTGTTCATAATTTAGCAAGTCGAAGGCTATGAAAACAAATGAAAAAATTAAATTAAGTACATAGTGCGGTGTCATTTGCTTATTGTCACCTGCTTCCTACATATTGCGTGTCTGCCTTCGATATACACCCATACGCAACAAAGTATGTGTGTTTATTTTGTTAATAACTTTACATTGTCTAGTAAATGATATATTCAAGGTGATTATCTGGCAACCTTTTTTAAATTATCGACGAAGGCGAGTTTGACAGCTGCGGTTGTTTTCTCATTGTTAAATTAATTATTTGAGAAGAATCAATCAATTAATTAAAAGGTAATGTATGTTTAACTATGACGCAGGAGACATTGAGGGCAGATCTGAAAAATAAAATTACAAAATTTACCAAAGCTCTGTTCCGTACCTATTATGTACCAACTTTCCTAGAGACAAATGGGACGGGAGAACCTCCACCAAAACAAAAAAATTGGCCTGTTTGAAAGTTATTTCGACAGAACTTCCCTCGCTCCTGACGTATAATAGAACAAATCCAACTTTTTCGAAAAATAATAATCCTTATAGGTAAAAATAAAGATATGTATGTAACGTTGAAGTGAAGGTAAAGAAGAGTGCCACGCGTTTATTTCAAGTGACTTTTCCATTACAAAATTTGTTTGCAAGGACACATATTTTGCAGTGTAATACTAATAGTAACAGTATTGTATTCTCAAATTTTTGGGAAAATGGAGTCAGTTCTTCTTGATTTAATCAATACAATAAATTGCCTCACTCATTATTTGTTGAGTCACCCTGTATAAGCAGTTGTAAAAATTATAAATTGCATAAGTATAGAGTCATAATATTTTGCATATTTTGGAGAAGATTTATTAGGCACGATTTTGAGATGACGTCATCAATTTTTTGGGAGGGGATAAACGAATCAATTTTGACTAACGGTTTACCATGATTACGATAACCTTAAAACATTTGCAATATTTCAGAACATTTGGTTTTGCAATTTCAACGTTAAATTGCGAAATGTTGTTATGCAACTTTGAGTTTATTTTTACAAAAATCTGGATGTCTAGTGTTAAAATTCGACACGGTTTCTTGCATCAAAAGTGAACGAGTATCTTATTTTATAAAATTAAAAAAATATATCACTCCCAAGTAACACACGATGGTGTATTAAACGTTTTTTTTAATTCCCAACTTTCCGTATAAATACGATTTATTCGTAACGTTTATTTCTTGGAAGAATGTCCGCCCTATATACGTTTATTTCTTGAGTAGAAAAACAGTATATTATACGTACACGTTAAACGTCTTTATGAAACCTGTATTTGACGTAGATGAGATATCATTTGAAAACGTTTCTATCCAACGCATATATTGCTGAAATAATTACCGGATGAATTAATGTTTCTTGTAAACGTTGAATAAATGTTTGATTATTTAACAAATATGTACGTTGACGTAACGTATATATTAATAATATACAATAAACAATTATTAACTAAAATTGAGTGGTCATTAATATTAATCACACTTAATTTTGTTTTAATTGTCCTGTAAATTCTTAAAACATGAACATGGAGAAAGTCATTGGAAAAAAACGCATGATTCAAAAATGATAAGTAGCATATAATAAACGAAAAAAAAAATAAAATAATACATAAAATATATTAATAGATTATTAGAAAAGTAAATAATTATTATTAACAATATACTCAATTGCCACGAAGTTTTTTAGCTTTGTGATCAAGTCGGTGTTTAGCTAATTTAAGCCAATCCTTCATTGCATCTTGAATATTTCGGTCAGTTAAATCGGTCCGGTCGGCATGTTTGGAATAAGCAGTCATAACTGCCTCTAGAATTTAAGGGAACAATAAATAAAGTTTGAATTTGTTTCAACAAAATTTACCTTGGATCACCTTGGACATAAGGGTGTCTTTGAAGGCTTTTTTCTTATTATCCCGTGCAATCCAGTTAAATTTCACCGCAACCTTATCCGTGAGAATAAATTTCATCATGTTCATTACACAGTTGCGGACACTCGTTCCTCCAATGCACGCTAGGCGACATTTCTAAAATAACGAATATAGTCAATAGTAATGGCAACATATTAGTAAATTAAAATTACCATATAATTAAATTTTTCTTCAATCTTTAGAAACTCTTCTAAGGCCTTGTATTCAGCCTTACAACTGACTGGGATATTAGGTAGGTCTACTGGACGATTAAGTTGTGTCATGTTTGATGACTGGATGCTGCTTAATATATTATTAAGTAAAAGAGTGTTTTGCTCTTGTATAGTGTCTAAACGTTCTACTTTGCGGAGAATCTTTTCCAGAAGATACTTAACAATTGAACTGGTGGGAAGTCCTGCGCTGCTAGAAGATGCCACGACTGAAACGCCAGAGGAACCATCTTCGTTAAGTTTTTCACTGTTACCTAAAGTAACAGTGGAGGCACGACTTGTGCTATTTGAGATTTTGGAGCAAGAACTCTGCTCATCGTCACTAAATTCACTCGCAGACGATTCGTCGCAACTGAAATTAAATAATAACGAATGGCTTAAGTGAGATATTGAGAATAAGTTCCTCAAAACAAACCTTGACATGTCTTTTTCATGACGTCTCTTCTTAGAGGCATTCTGCGTTTCGTCTTTTTCTTTCACATCATTAGTTATCACATTCACTTCTAAAACGTGTAGCGGCTGCTGTGCATTACCTGAGTCGGAGGAGCTAGAACTCTCCTCGATCATCTTTTGAAGTAAAGCATTCGCATCATCGTAATCAGCTAGACAAGATTAAAGTTGAATAAATAATTTAGTAATAACCAAATTAGTGAAATATACCTTTTATATCAGTAACGTTGATCACTTTATACTTGGGCCATGAACGTAGTGGTTCTTTGCATGTTGAAATCATTTTGTCAAACTGTTGTGGGGTGGCAGCTCTTGGCCAATAACACATTTGCTGATCTTCTAGGAGCCAATTTAAAGGCACCACCGCACATTTTCTATCCTCAAATTCAACCACTGCATACATGATATGAACACGTACCTTTTTCTAATAAGAAGGAATGATTAAAGGGACTATACCTATGTAAATGAAAAATATAGGAAAGAAGAGGCAACTGTATCAAAGTTTTAACGATTTTATCGAAATTTAAAATGTACACTTAGGTGAAAATTATTGCATCTCGTTTAGGTAACAATATCTATCTGTAATAACTACAAAAAAAAATTATAGTTTTTTTTGATGATTAATTGGACTAACATAAAATCCATTTTTGAAAGGAATTGAAATATATTTACATGATATCTCTTCTAGTTTGAAAAAATCTTGGCTTAAATTTCTTCCTCTCGCAAAATATATTCCTAATTTAGACGACTTAATAGGTCTATTATAAAAATCTTCCAAATATCTAAAACCAGTACAAATTATTTTGTAGATTCCATTTATATGAACAATGTATTCGATAATGTAAATTTTTTTATTTATGGCAACAACATTGTCTGGTGGAGAAGTTGAAATAAGTATATTATTAAATTTTAGTTTATTGCATGTAAAATATGAGGTATTAATGTTTCTAACAAACATAGGACAACAGTTATTATTTTCTGATTCGGCATTAGTCGTGATGGTTTCTAGTTCTGACAGACGATTATATATTTGCCCCAAGGGCAGCGTTTTCCCCCTAATTTTGCTCTTAAGTTTACCTAAATAATTTTCAAAAGTAAAACAGGAAAAGTTTTCCAAAGGCCCATAATTGGCAACATCCTCGTGAAGATGACTTAAGGAATGGACATTGTATGTTACAAAAAACTTGTCATACAGTTGAGGACACAACTTAATAAATTTATCAATCGCCTCTTTTGCAACTAAAAAATATTTTCGCAATAATTCCTCATTACTTAGTATAAATACAGAACAATGTAAAAGAAGGAAATGTTGATAATACTCTTTTTCTAAGATATTTTTTAAAACGAGAGGTCCGCAGTAAAGAAGAAAAAATCGATACTCTACAGCTTTCCATCTCTTTATGTCACTTAATGTGCGGATCTTTCTATGAAAATCAATAGGAGTGTGTTTTTTAACAAGTAATAATTGATTATTAATTTTAGAGACTGCTAATTTACTAAGTTTATAAGGACGCTTTCCTTCAAGCAAATATATAAGTAATAACCTTTTGATCACTCCTTGATAAATAAGATGCATTGGATCTAGCACGAATTGTGACACCAAACCAATTCTAAGTGTTAAAAGAGGTGATTTTCCTTTAAAATATGACTCCGTATCTGATGTTTCAAGATTCACATTCAGAAAATCATTATCAGTCCTAGCTTCATATGTATAATTAACAGGATAAAAGTTTCTGAAATTTTCACGATCAGCTTTTATTAAACATCTCTCACATCCATTTCTGCTTGTATGACCAACAACGCATTTTAAATATGACCGTGCAGGTGCATCGCATGAAAAAAATTTGAATTCAATTTTAAATTTTTTATCTAAATACGTTAAACCCTCTGAAAGAAGAGTCAAACACTCTTCAACAAAAGAACTTAGAAAAGTTTCTATTGGAGAAGGTTTTCCTCTACCACAAAATATTGCGGCTGCAAATGGAGAAGTATTTTTAAAACAGTCACTTTGAACTAAAATGGGCCAAAATTCGATAGAACTACTTTTAAATAGTGGTATGCCATCTACATTGACTTTTAAAAAAATTATTTCGTTTTCATAGTTGAGACCACCGTCAATCTTTTTTCTTAAACCCCTTTCGACTCCTAAATATATCATTTCACCATTATTCAACGGAAATTTTTCGACTTTCCTAGGGGTTTTTAAAATAGTTCGAGCATCTTTTCTCAAAAATGGAAAAGCCGGTTGAATTATTTGTATTAAACCGTTGAATGCCTTGTGCGTAATATTATTATCTAAAGCCCATTTTTTTATTTTATTCACAAAATCCTCACTGTTATTATTGCTACTACTTTCGACCATTTCTGACAAAGACTCGATTGAGGTTATGGTTTCATTGGATACAAAATCTTCCGTAGTAATTAAATCACGCAACATGGGAAGATCTGTTCTTGAAAACGAATCATTATTGTTACAGCTACCACCATTGCTGTTAATATTAGTATTATTGGAAGCAGAGGCATCATAGGCAGCAGTATTTTCTGTATTACCCAACTGAACTGTGTAAATTTCACCTAAGTGTGAACTGTCCCTAAACTTAACTTCTTGAGTTCTTTCCGCACAACTCTCTATATAAACACTATTCATTAAAGTTAATTTAACATTATTCGCTACTCTCCTACGTAGATGTCTTTTTGATATAAGTTTAACATCTGACATGATCACCTCTAATTTCCTACACGTTCGTTACCGGTAACAATTGGATAGAATAATATAGGAGCAGGATACAAGCAGATATTAAGTAGCCGTTATAACCTAAAAAATAATGCTAGTTATCATTCAACGACAAGTATTTGATATCATTAGTATTACTAATCTATTATATACTTGAATAATGTCATATTACAATGACAAAATTAAAACTGTAGCAATTTAACCTTGATCGAGATTTCCCGAACCGTGGAATAATAAACTGCAGTTTTTCATTAATTCTATACCTATCCTTTTGTAAAATACTAAAGCACATAATTATTTACTTACCAGTTTTCAATATTCACAGTCTGTAATTCTGTATAATTACAAACTTCTTGCCCTATATAACATTCAACAAGTCACAACGTGCACGTGCATGAATGGTAGCCGTTAGCAATTAGCATTTCCACGCGGTTTTTTAATTGCGTGCGCAACGATTTTCACAACCAGATCGATCTACGGGTCAATCACAAAGAGGAATTGTCCGAACTGTTCCGAATTGTGTGGACATTGTACGATGTCGCTGAGGATGTGTGTTAATCAGAATATTCAAAATGTCTAGCAAAAATATCCGCCAAGTATAATCAATTGGGAATAACAGAGTATAACAGAACTGTTGTAATATTTGGTACATCAAATTGCATTGGGAGACGCAAATTTAAAAAAATGTAATAGTAAATTTTACGGATCACAGGAAACGTTTCGCATCAACGTGTAAGTGCTAATGAATTAAACGTTGCAGGTAATCGTCAATGAACAACGTTTAATAAATGACTCATGTATATGTTTAATATGATAAGTAAATTACTAGAATGTATATTTAACGATTCATGAAAACGTTTCAAACACTGTAGATTTAACGTTTATTATCATTAGTAATGAAACTTAAAATATCCCAAAAAGGTTTAAAGAATACATTTAATACAATAATTATTACACGTTTCGTACTATAAACGTTTCATATAAACGTTTCTGTCATATACTTTACCAAGAATATACCATTGTTCAGTATATTAAACGTTTATTACACCAGCGTGTGTTACTTGGGCTGTAAATTTTGATAATGACGTCATCCCATTGGTGGTGGGATGATAATTTTGGCTAGCGTTTTGCCATCAACATTATATTACTAATATACATACAGGATTTGACCACAATCGGTCCAGTAATTTCGGAGATTATGCCGGACAGACAGAGAGATAGACAGCGCAAACAGGAGATCACTGTTTTCGTATTCTAGGGGTCAACGTCGAAAAAACATGAAAATGACGGTCAGAAAATAAAAAATCCATTCTTGAAATAAAATCCTACCTACTTCAAAGAATTGGTCAACGGTTATTTCGACAGAACTTTCCTCGTCCTTGAAGTATAATCCGACAAATCCAGCTTCTTTGAAAAATTAGAAAATTTGATTTTGCGATATTCGTTTTCTGATAACCTGTATAAAGTAAAAACCAGCAGCATAAATAACACTCCCGTAAACCCCGTTCAGTGGGAGTCCAAATTCATTCTTGGAATTTGCGCTTCCAAGTACGGACAACGTAAAATATGAATATACAATAATGGGGCAAAATATCCTCTCAGCACCAATAACAAACAAGTGTTTATGTTGATACATCGAAAGAATATTACGTATAAATTAGCTTGATTTGAATGACTTTATCTCCTCAAAACGAAGGACTAATGTACATTAATCTGTTCGGTAGTTTCGGAGATTACGTGTCTAATAAAAATGGATGGAGACGACAGACACACAAACAAACGACAAACAGACAAACAGACGGAAACGGCGGACCACTTCTTTCGATGGACCCGATTCCTTAGCTTACGCTCGAGAAATAATAAAAAGAACATGCAGGGTGTTGCAGCTAAAACTTCGAGGCCTAATATCTCGCTAGAGATATTGCAATTCTGCAAACGCCATTGTTTTTAGCTTAAAGGAGGAAGGAAGCTTAATTTACTGCCTTTCAAATATGACACATACATATTTGTTATTTTTCGGCTTGAATCGGAACGACTGGTCACCTTAATTTCTTAATAACCTAAAATAACTAATCCATTTATAGTCCACATATGATACACAGTAGCCTCTAAAAACCCTCGTGTTTGACAATTCCTTCCCCAAATGCTCAGTGACGTACGATTTATAAAATATTTTTGAATGTTACTGTATATCGATTGTTAGCACTCTGTACAAAAAGTCAATTATATTCGGTATCAGGATGACGGTTTGTTAATAATCACATTGTTTGCAATGAATAAACAATTTTTAGTCTAATGTCTTCATAAAAAATATGCCATTGTATTTAATCGTTTAATGATTGATCATATTGCCACCACAAGACATATCTCGACCAATATCATTATATTAAGTCACTATTGGACTGTGATTCCTGCCACGATTGTACGAGGTTTTAAATTTTTGATCATTACGTCAGCATTAATACCACATTCTTTTAATTATAATAGTGAGTAAGTAGAATTTAGAACTCGTTTAAAATCTGTTAATTATGAGGAGCAATTAATTTTTGCCATATAGAAAAGGTTTAAATTTACTTACAAATTAGGAGGTTAGCGGCCACCAGCGGCGATATAAAAGCAGCAATAAATAACATATCAAATAAATGATACTTTCATAATCGTGTTGAATTTATGGTAAGAATTAGACAACCGTAAATAGAATGTGTTAGTTAATACCACTACAAGGCTGTTTAAAAAGTTAGTGGCGATGACTTAATGAATACCTTCAAGTATTTCTATTTTATCAAAGGCCGTAATGGCTCATAGATGGGTACCCGTATTGAGAACTTGATTCAAATAAATACATGCACAAAAGCTTCAACAAATGAGTTAGTAATACCCGCAGGATTGTAACGTGTTTTTATTACGTATGCAGATCTCATTTATTAGTAAATAACTACGTAATGAGTGTACGGTCGTTAAATGGGTATAAGGTATAGTACCTAATAACAAAAATTCATCGAAGTTGGGTTTGAGTTTAGTGCAAGTCATAGGCAATTTCCAAAGCTTAGTTGTATGAGGTAAATGCTTTGCACTTAACATACAGTGCGATATCTTTAGGGGAACTGGAAGAGAGAGAACTATTGAAGCGTTAATGGAATGAATCCATGCGATCACGCCATTTTCAATAAACCCAATATCGAACGAGTGAGAAAGAAAATATTCGGTGCTTGCTTCGTCCAAATCGAATTACCTTTCAAAATTGACGACTTATTCTCCAAAAATAGTCTGAACGCTAATATAACGAATTGCAGTTATCCGAAAGTCTGAATAATTCAGTCAAATTACTTCCGAAATAGACGAAATGACGGCGAGGGACAGATAAAAACTGGCATTTGGTCTATGATTAAAGCTGAATAACAGACATTTTCGTCCTTATTTCCGTAATAACATTTTAATGGGCGTGAGGGAAATGTGCAAGTGTATACGAGTCACTACTCACAATGGAAGGTAGGGTTATAGCGTGTATATTATTATTATTATTACAACGTCTTTATGGAACGGTACAACATTGCGATAACACTACATTATTCGTTATTTACAATGTCTGTTCGGAATATTTCCAATTGAAAGTTATTGTTATCTCGTCAAGTCGCTGCTTTTGCTTGTTAATGCCATAAAACAATACGGACATATGCTAATCACGCAATGTACGAGCGAAACTGAATTTCAAACAACTTGAGATTAAAACGGCATTAGGAGTGTTGGCGAGAGAACGAGCACGTGAAAAATTGTTCTTCTGTGTTATCTATATTATCTCATACCAGAGGCGGCGATCGCGTGGGCGTGTCAGCACTCAGGCGTTTACAGTACCCAGTAGGGACTAGTGTCAAAAAGTTGCAAGTTTTAATAATAAAATATGCAAAGTTGTTTATACAGAATTTAACTAATACTTTTCAATATTATTTTTAATGTCGTCATTAACTTAATGTGGGGATAAATCTACTAGTTTCAGCATATTCAGTATAGCACAAATCTAAATGTACTCTGTAAGTATAACAAATTTTAGGAAGATTAAAATTGCACATATAATTTTGAACACCTATTAGGTAAAATAGTTTCGGGGATTATTCATCCGAAGTATTTCCACCGGACAAGACCACACATAAACTCAAAAACGGTCTTTTCATGTTTTACAGACTGTGAAATTTCACGAAAACATGAAATTAGACGTTTGTTAAAATAATCCTGTTACAATATCTGCCTTAGCCAGTGCTCAGAAAATGAAAATAGAGCATATAGGCACCTGCCGGTTTACCACTGGAACATAAAAGTCGAGCAAGTTAATGTGTATGTGCGATCAAAGTTATCGGTCTATTTTTATGGTTTCTGTTGTGGATATTGAACGTTTGCCTAAACTATTTCATACTTCCTCGTATTCTGGATACGTAACTATTGCAAACATGATGCACACAAATTGCGTTCTTAAATTTTATTTCAAAAAACATAATTTACCTTGAGTTCGCACTTACAGTTATGTATCTAAATAAGTGTCAGACGTCGATAAATTTAGGGGTAATTAAATAAATTAGCAAACAATAGTTTCTATAAAGTAAAATTCATTAACTGTCACATCAACCATTTCAGTGGCATGACGCTTCAAAATTTTCAAAAATAAAAAAATAATAAAAATGGTGTGTTTAAGAAAATTTCCATTGCTCTTGTAATCAATTCCAAGTCATATAATATGTTATACGAATAATATAAATAATATTATTATGGATGGATGATATTACTTGGACGAATCAGGAACAAGACATAAATTACAAATTAAGACTATTTATTTTTCTTTTGCATTATTTTCATAGTTGTAATCAAAATCTAAAATAGATGCAATTGGTTTGTAGTAATGATTAATGAACAAATTAGGAGATAAATACTTTGGATTAAAATCTGTCGTAATATCTAAAAAAAACTCCGTCGACTGCTGTTCCATATTCTGTTAAGCTCTCATTCTTATTACTGCTTCCTGAGCATCCGCTGAGGAAGTGTAGTAATCGAATCCTAGAGTACGAAAAACATAGTCTCAATTTTCCGTCTGTCTGTCTGTCTGTCTGTCTGGCGTCTGTATCCATTTTTATTAGACACGAAATCACCGAAACTACCGGACCGATTGTTGTCAAATTGTATATTATTAGGAATTTCTGCAATATTATTTGCTGTGTGTTGAACCGTGAGTTCATTAATTATTTAGATGAGTGGAGGCTGTGTTAAATTGACAGTTTCTGATTGTCTTTGATACATTCAGCCGAGTTGGTGTTTAAAATGTCAAATTTTCGAATGTTTTGAAAATAAAAGTGCGAAATGATTTTCTCTGTGGAACATAAAACGTTCTTGATTGAGTCCTACTTCCGAAATGGAGTTGCCATTGAAGTCGAATGGCATTATAACAGTGGTATTGAATTCCAACAAAAATTTCCAA